AAAGCAAGTGTACCAGCACCTACTGTTTCACTCCCCCTCCTCGCCCCCCACACCAACTTCTGGGGTATGCCTGTGGCAAGCAAGTTAGAGCATAATTATTGCTGTGGGATTCGTACTCGACCAAAACATGCTAACAGGAGGTTTGCGTGAAATGCATCCGTGGTGGAAGTGGGAGAAGTGGCAGTGTTAGTGGAGGTAGTCATAGTGATCGACGCAGTTGTTGGAGTGGGGAATATAGTGTTGGTGACTCAGGGCAGCAGGGTATCCGCAGTGTGACCACCGGTGCTGGGGGTGGTGGTCGTCGTGGAGTTTGAAGCAGGAGTGACGGTAGCGGTGTTCGTAGAAGGGAAAGTTTGTGTTGCCTTTGACGGTATCCTAAGAGGCTGATTCGTGCTCGGAATGTGAGTTGGCAGCGTAGACATCTTGGCTGTTTGGATTGTGTATCCCAAGCGGGGTACAGGGGTGTCCGGTTGTGAGTACATGTGACGGTCGCAGGTGTAGACTACGCCTAGCGTCCATTTATTGGCACCCAACTCTCACATGTGGCTCCCCAAAGCTAGGCACTGCCTAACTGGCACACCCCGGTAACCTCCTCGAGCGGCAGGCTAAAGCAGGTGAGGGGATATGTGTGTGTGCATCTACACACACGGTAGCTCGGCTCCGCTCCTTCCATCGCCGTCCGGACGTATTACCGCCCCGGCGTCTCCGAGATAAGGCCTCATCTGCAATGCTGCAAGCACTCCACAGTCGACAAGTCCTACGGTGAGAGCACAAGCAATCACGTCGGTCTCTTACTGAAGCCCGTGACCCATATTTGAGAGCGGTATTTGTATGGTGCGACAAAGCAGCTCTGCTTAGGGTGGCACTGCTCACCCCCGAGGGGGAAGGAGTTAAAAAAGGTGCCCTAAACAAAGCTGAGTTGACGATATCTGCGCGCAAACTGTGGCTCACAGATGCAATAACCACGGTCGAAACCACCAAATACGAAACATCACACACACACTCTCTCTCTTTTCCTCCTCCCCCTCCTGCTAGGGTGAGTCCGCTCAATCTGGTGGCCTGGAATATTCGTTTCCTTTTGGATAATCCCAGGAACAACCGACCGGAAGGGAGGACGGTGCTAGTCGCTTGGGAACTGGCTCGCTACAAGGTGGACATCTCCGCACTCAGCGAGACCCAGTTCCCTGAACATGGCCAACTGGAGGGCGTGGGTGTCGCCCTAAGGCAAAAGGACGGGACGCGGGTGTCGCGTTCGCCATTCGGAACGACATCCTGGGACGACTGCTCTGTCTGCCACAGGGCATCAACGATCACCTGATGAGCCTCCGCCTGCCTCTCTAGGGAGGCCAATTATCCACAATCGTCAGTGTCTACGCCCCCCCGCCTCCCCGATGACCAGCCCCGACGCCGCTGCAAGGGACAAATTCTACGAGGACTTGCACGCTCTCCCGGAGCCGGTGTCGGAGGCAGAGAAGTTGACTGGGTTCGTGACTTCAACGCCCGCGTCGGCACAGACCATGCTGCCTGGGCAGGAGTGCTGGATCCCAAACGAAAATGGTCTGCTCTTCATGCGAACCTGCGCAAATTATCGCCTCATCCTGGCCAATATCTTTTTCCGCTTTCCGACGTGGGAGAAGGCGACCTGGATGCACTCTCGGCCACTGACTATGTCCTCGTCCGGAGGTAAAACCAGCAGGAGATGTTGGTAACAAAGGCAATCAGGGGTGCCAACGGGTGAACCGGCCATCGTCCTGTGATTTTCAAGATGAGGCTCCATCTGCAACGCCTCAGGAGACTTAAGGGTGGGAGACCACGAGGTAATTTTGTTGTCTTAGCCCGCTCACCCTCCCCATTTCAGTAATGAACTGGCTTAACGGCCAGCCAACCTTCTAGTCGCCGCCGCTGACGCGACCGCCTCCGTGGAGAGTCGGTGGTACCAACTATGAGACACAGTCCAGTCAAAAGCCCTGGCTGTCCTCGTCTGTGCAAGTTGTCAACACCAGGACTGGTTCAACGAAAACAGCGCAGTCATCAGTAATCCGCTCGCCGAGAAGAACCGTCTGTTCAAAACCTACGTCAAGCGCCCAATCGACAAGAACAAAGCAGCCTTCCACCGTAGTCACCGCCTTGTACAACATCGGCTGAGAGAGGAGGTCAAAGAGATCCACGGTTACGCGGACCGCAACGGATGGAGGAGTTTTTTTGCCGCGACCAAGACTGTCAAGACAGTCCACAGCCAAGGGAACCGCTCCTCTTCTCAGCGCCGATGAAACCACTTTACTCACGGAGAAGACGCAAATTCTACACCGATCGGCCGAGCACTTCAGAGGCGTCCTCAGCCACCCCTCCACCATCTCCGACGTCGACATCGTCCGTCTGCCTCATCGGGAGTCCAATCCGGCCTCGACATCCAGGAAACCATCATGGCTATGAAGCACTCTCCAGCGGACAAGCGCCTCGATTGGACGCGATCCCTGCTGAGATTTACGAGCAAATCTGTCCCCAACTCATGAATCCCCTGACAGCGCTATACCAGGAGATGTGGTGTCAAGTTGAAGTCCCCCAGGACTCCAAGGACGTCACAGTCCTCCGTCTCTACAAATGGATAGGGAACCGCCAAGCCCGCGACAACCACCGAGGCATCTTCCTGTCCGCCATAGTCAAGAAGATCTTCACTAGTACCCGTATCAACCCTCTGAAAAACCAACTGAAACAGTAACTCCTGTCGGAACGCCAATGCGGCTTCTGCCGTCATCGTGGTACCATCAACATGACTTCCGCCACCCGCCAACTGCATGAGAGGTGCCAGGAGATGCGACCCATCTCTACTCTACCTTCGTGGATCTGACGAAAGGCTTCGACACGGGGAATTGTAAAGGACTGTGGAAAATCACGCCGAAATTCGGCTGTCCCGAACGATTCACTCAGATGGAGCGCCAGCTCCGCGGTGGCATGATGGCGCGAGTCACTAAAAACGGCGCTGTATCCGAGGCATTCGCAGTGACCAGCGGAATTAAGCAGGGCCGCGTCCTCGCGCCTACCCTGTTCAGTCTTATGTTCTCTGTCATGCTGATGGACGCCTACCGCGACGAACGCCCCGGGGTTCCGCATCGCCTACAGGACGGCCAACTCTTCAACCATCGGCGGATGCGCTTCCAGTCGTGTATATCCCCAACCACCGTCCACAAAACTCTCTTTGCCAACAACTGCAATCTCAACAGCACCTCAGAAGGCGACATGCAAACGGCATGGATTTGTTCGCCGCCGCCTGCGACAACTTCGGCCTCATCATTAACGCAGAGGAAACAGGGGTTATCCAACAACCGTCACCCAACGCTGACTACGTTGCACCCAAATCAACGTGGACGGCGCCCAACTACAGGCCGTGGGCAACTTAACGTATCTGGGAGCACCCTCTCTCGCAGCATCGATGTAAACGATTAAGTGGCCCGCTGGATTTCGAAAGCCAGGCAAGCTTTTGGCCGTCTGCAAAGCACAGTTTGGAATCCTCAACGTCTCCATCTCAACACCAAACTCAAGATGTGGAGAACGATCTTCCTGTCGACGCTGCTGTATGGAGCGGAGACCTGGACGGCGTAGAGGAAGCAGGCGCGGAAGCTCAACCACTTCCACCTCAACTGTCTCCGACGCTGCCCAAACTCCCCGCAAATAAACGTGAACGATGTCCAAATACAAGTCGTGGACAACTTCACCTACCTGGACGGCACCCTCTCCCGCAACATCAAGACCGACGATGAAGTGGTCAGACGGATCTCCAAAGCCAGCCAAGGCTCCGGCCAGCTGCAAAGCACAGTCTTGAATCGTCACACACTCCACCTCAATACCAATCTGACGATGTACAAGGCGGTCATTCTGCCGACGCTGCTGTATGGGGCGTAGACCTGAACGGCGTACAAGAGACAGGAGCGGAGAGTCAATCACTTCCACCTCAGCTGTCTCCGACGGATGTTGAAGCTGAGGTGTCAGGACCGGGTCCCGAACACGGATGTTCTGGAACGGACATGAATCCTCAGCAACTACAACTACAACTGCATTGGAGCGGCCATCTGGTGCACATGGACTATGAGCGGTTACCCGAGCGACTCTTCCATGGAGATGTCGCCACAGGTTCCTGCCGACAAGGAGGTCAAGTCCGGCGCTACAAGGATAGCCTAAAGACTTCTCTGAAGCGCCTGCAAATCGACCCGGCCAACTGGAAAGACCTCGCCCGAGATCGACTGGACTGGAGGAGGACAGTGAAAACAGTGAAAACAAAGCCAACCGTGTCACTGACGCCAAAGCCAATCGCGAAGCTCGTAAATCACGATTTCCCCCGTCTCGCAACGCAAACGCTCAATCGTTCCCATCCTGCCCACGATGTCAGCAGACGTTATGGGCGCCAGTCGGCTTTATTGGACATCGACGAACTAGCTGCGACA